CTTACCACAAAAATATAGCTATCGTTTCCAACCACATATGTGAGAATAATTGAAAGAGAAATTTGGGAAAGTATTTGTTCAGGAGACATGTCTCCTAAATCATGTTGAACCAGCAATTAAATGGATTTGATAATTGCCCTAACTTTAACTCAGCAAAATGAGCTTTTCCAAACCTCTGGTGGAGAATTATCCTAATCAAGTCCAGAACCCCTCAAGATAGAAATGGCTGTATTTTCTTAGCAGCTTCGGTGCTGCTTGAGCTCATGTCCCACGGTGGAGGTGAGGCTGGCTGCAGGTCAGTAGAGGCAAGGATGGGTGCTCTGACTATCTCCAAAACTTGTTATCTCAATAATAATTCAGCGTTGGCTTTACTAGCATTGAACCAGCAGTGCTGCCCCAGGCCAGTCCTCAGCCACAGACGCTGGGCCCCCCACAGGTTCCCTTTCCTTACAGTATGGGAGCTGACATAAAACCTTGCTGGACATTATGTTGGACCTGCTGTTGAAGTGGTCCAGAAAAGGCCACAGAGATACTCAGAAGGCTGGAGCATCTTTCCTACAAAGAAAGGCTGAGGCTGGGAGTGTTCAGCCTGCAGAAGAGAAGGCTCTTAGGAGACCTCATTGTGGCCTTTCAACACTTGAATGGACCTTTTAAACAGAAGGGAGAGCGATTTTTTGATATGTGCAGGCAGTGATAGGGCAAAGCTGAATGGCTTTGAACTAAAAGAAGGGAGGTTTATGTTAGATGTCAGGGGGAAATTCTTCAGAAGGTGGTGAGGCCCTGGCACTGCTGCCCAGAGCTGTGGGTGCCCCATCCCTGCAGGTGCCCAAGGCTGTGGATAAGACCCTGCACAGCCTGAGCTGGGGGAGCAGCCAGCAGAACTAGATGATCTTAAAGATCCTTTCCAATCCAACCCATTCTATGATTTTCAAGCCCACTTTAAACCTTTCTGAAATGATACAAGGGAATTTAGCTGATGCCAAGAACTCTGGCTTTTGTGGTTGTTTGTTGTTGTTGTTGTTTCCTTGGGTAAAATCATGAGGGATGGAGAACAGGCCCCTGGAGAGTGAGGAGTTCTGTTTGTTGAACCATTTCTGAGCTGGATGCAGAGCCTTTTGGGCTCAAGTCAGGAGAGAATGCACATCTCCAAGTATGACGGAATGGAAAATATGTGTGTGGCCCAATTTTAGTGATTTCTGTAAAAAAGAAAAGATCCCGCTGGCTATATGATATTACATTAGCCAAGCAGTTCCATTTGAGTAGTCTCTCTGCTTCCAGAAAAAAAAAAAAAAAAAAAGAAAGAAAGAAAAAAAAAACAACAGAACTAATCTCTCCAAACGAGCAGGCTATTAATTGAAGGAGACCTCAGAAGTTCCCTAAACAATCCCATATACTAATTAAAGACAGATCAAAGTGCAGTTTCTCTTAATTCTCTCTGGAGGCAAACGGATTTCTCAGGGGCTTCTTTCTGAGGGAAAGATAATTTCTCATGGCATTTTCCTCGGTTTCAAGTGCAGAAATGCACACTGTTTGCTAGCTGGCAGCAAAGCTGTGGGTGATGTAAGAGGAGCAGCTCAGCCTGAATGCAGGAACATGCTGCTGCTGTTTAATCCAAGATAATATATTTCACGATCCTACCCCTGGAATTTTTCAGCAACTTGTTAAATGTATGGGAAAGCATTTGGCCTGCCTTGGAAATGTTCCTCGCTTTGAAAAAGAGCTGCAGTGGGAGAGCTGGCAGCGGTGGTCTGTGAAAGCTGGATTTCCCCACATGGCACAGCAGGGCTGGGTGGCTGCGAGGGCTCTTTTACAGCCAGGAAAAGCTCCAGGATGCACAGAGTGCAGAGGGAAAAGTCCCTCTGGAGGGTGGCTGCTGGCACAGATGGTGCTGGATTTGACTCCTGCTTTCTCTGCTTTGGGCATCGGCAACATGCAGAAAAGCCAGAGCTTGGCTTATACTCAAAAGCCTTGCAATCATTTTGAATCTCTGGCTGTGGAGGAGAAACTCTGTTCTAACTTTGCTGTCAACTCAACATTATCTTAATCCTAGCAACTACAGGAACACTGGCTGGGTCAGATTTATCAGTAGGCAATCCCAGGACACCTGGTGTTGAGAGGACAACAGCCCAGGTGTTTGTTAAAGGCTTTGTGTCTGAGCTCAGGCAACACACTAGATTTTCTCTGAGGCCTTACTGTTTGCACAGAAATCAACCGCTCCCTCTTCTAGGGGTGATGCAAGGACAAAATCTGCCATGGTTGTGCAGTGTTTGGAGGGTGATAATGCTGGAAGGGAGGAGGCTGCGTGCTCCAGCACAAAGAGGTTTGTTGCTGTGCCTAAACCCTTCTGGAGACGACTTCATTGTTCAGCAGAAACACGAGGGAGGAACAACACTGTACTGAAAAATGCTCTTCTCCCATCCTGGCTTGCAGCTTTCTTGGGCTTCTCCCCCTCTCCTTTCCCAGCAGAGAGAAACGCAAAGAAAAGAGTTTGCAGCACACAGCCACGAGAGGGCACAAGAAACCAAGACGAAACCCTTCCTCGAAAGGCCTTTCTGCATCTGCGAGGATTTGGGAGCGAGCTGATTGCTTTCTTAGAGCAGACACCTGAATTTCTCCTGAAGGAAAGCTTTTGTGCTTTTTTTTTTTTTTTAATACTCGTGTTTTCTCCATGCACAGTCGCACTGGAGTGACACCTCAATACATCGTGTCTGAAGGAGGGCAGCTCTGTTCCTGCTTTGTGTCCCACATCCCCTGGTCCTTTTTCCCTTCCTGAGCTGCCTGAACAAACACCCTTGACTGCTCTGTGATGCGGTGGGATGTTATCAGTCTGGAAGTTGCTCTGACAAAGGGTTTGGGTGGTGCTGTGTGGAACCAGGGGTTGGACTCAATGATCCTTGTGGGTCCCCTCCAACTTAGAATGGAATCATACAGTGGTTTGGGTTAGACAGGACCTTTAAGATTATCCAGTTCCACTCCCCACTATAGGCAAGGACACTTCCTTCTAGACCAGGCTGCTCACAGCCCCATCCAGCCTGGCCTTGAATGTTTCCAGGGAGGGGCATCCACAGCCTCACTGGACAACCTGTTCCAACTCGGGATATTCTATGATTCTATGATTTGTCATGTCAGGGAACAAGCAGGACACTGGAAACGTGCTGAAGAAGGTGTGTTGACTTCAAGATATAGGAGGAATGTTTCCCTCCCTGTTCTTCTTTCCCTTCAGTAACATGAAGAATGGTTGAGGGAACTGGGCTTGATTAGCTTGGAGAAGAGAAGGCTCTGGGGAGACCTCATTGTGGCCTTCCAGTACTTGAAGGAGCGTATAAACAGGAGGGGGAACAGCTGTTTATATGGGTTGATAGTGATAGGACAAGGGGGAATGGCCTTAAACTGAGACTGGAGAGGTTTAGATTGGATATTAGAAGGAAGATTTTCCACACAGGGGATGGTGAGGTGCTGGAACAGGTTGCCCAAGGAGGCTGTGGATGCCCCATCCCTGCAGGCATTCAAGGCCAGGCTGGATGTGGCTCTGGGCAGCCTGGGCTGCTGGTTGGCGACCTGCACATAGCAGGGGGTTGAAACTAGATGAGCACTGTGGTCCTTTTCAACCCAGGCCATTCTATCATTCGATGATTCTATGAAACAGACACACACACCTTGAGACTGGGGGACATCAAACACCAGAATCCATCCTGGAAGGGATGACAAAAGGCCATGCAGTGTGGCCATCACAGCTCAAGGCAGGATCCACCTCTCTCTAAACCAGCCCTCGTGGTGTCTCTGTTAGATTGAGGATGGGGTTAATGGTCCCTGTGGGAAGGACTGGGCAAAGGCAGTAGAGAAGAAAACACGCTTTGAAAATAATAACATGAGCCAAGGCTTCTTGAGAGAACATGGTGAGGTGACAAGATCCCTGTCTGGGAGCATCTGTCTGTTTTCTTTGCCTGGCCAGGGTGTTGGTTGCTGTGACAGCAACAGCTTGCATAGGGATTGCAATGGACATACATAGGGACTGCTGCGTGCTGTGACACCCTGCCCTGATTTTGGGCAGTTCTTTTTCTTGGTGCCTCAGAAAGGCTTCCTGAGAAGGAGAGATGTTAGATTAGAAGTTAGCCTTGAGGCTAACACTGGGAAATAATTTGTGGAGGGAAATAAAGTATATATTTGGTCGGGTCTACATGCCAGATCTTGAACTAGCAGGGCTGTTTTGGCAAGAACTGTGGGTTTGTTTGACTGAAAAAGATATGAGTTCAAGGCTGATTGCATCTTTATGGCCTAGAATTGCTTCACAGCTGTAATTTATTCTCCCTTTTGTACAGGAATAGCTCTGGCAAGAGTTGGTTTTGCTGTAACACCCGGAGGGTTAGCCGAGTACAATTATTCACTGCCTGACAAAACAGAATCTCAGGATCGTGAAAACCTGTGAAGGAACAGGTTCAGCACCAAGCAAAGGGAAGCACTCCATGTGCTGAATGTATGGACTGCCTTGAGAGGGTCTTGTGGATGCTGATGAGAGTTGGGCAGGTTTGCAGAATTAAAGTACACATTACCCCACCTCTTGCTTGGACAGCAGGGGAGCCACCAGCTTCTGGAAGAGATACTGCAAGAAATTCATGGTAGGGTTTTCCTGTACTCTTGACACACACAAGGCACCTCATGCAGAGATCAACCCATTTGAATGCCAGGATCTTCACCTAGGGATAGCCTGAATGGCAGTACATCTAAAACACCATTCTCAAGTTTGTCATCCTTTTCTCCCTGGTTGAAGGCAAGTGTCTAAACAGCACTAGCACTTGGGAAGGTACTTTAGCACAGCATAGTAGGATTGCTTTTAAATGACATCATAGCATCTGTGGAACACAAACAGAAGTAAGGCTCTGATGCAGTGAGGATTCCTCCATTCAAACAAGTTTCTGATCTTGTAAAATCCTTATGAAATATAATCGTTATAAAATTTGAATGTGTATGTTCATCAGAAAGGTTTTTCAAAGCTGCAGGGATAAGAAGCAAAGTTGCTTTTATTCATCAGCATAAACCAGGAATATGTAGAATTAATCACTTCTAATACAGGTATCCTTTTTCTAACCTTGATCATCCATCTCTGCACTGAGCCCAGGTCTTGTGCTTCAAACACGTCTTTCAGATCACGCCAATTCATCCTATATGATGTCTCAAATCAAGGCATGTTATATGCACTTATTTCTTCTTCCAAAGGTGCTGGTATTACGCAGAAACTCAGAAAAGCTTGTACATGTCAGTTCCAAGAAGATATGTGACTTTTTTTACAAGCAGCAAAACCCAAATACAGTAAGCAAGCTCTACCACACCCCTTCTTTGCATTTTCATGGAAGCATCTTAAAAAAGCCTCACAAAATGATGGGTGCACTTGTAATGTTTTAGCACAATATGGCTGCAAACTGTAGAGCAAATTTCATAACATTAATATTGTGTTTCTGTGCAACTAAAAGTCTTGAGCTCTGAATGGCCACACTTCAGCAAAAGGTGGGGTAAATTTAATTTCCATGGAAATTTCTTTAGAATAATGCAAATTTCCAATGAAGAATTAAATGTCCATGCTACAGTATATGGCCAGTATTTTTGGCTATCAGAAAACACTTTTTTTTTCATTTTTGTTTGTTCAGAACCTGCTGCTACTAACTCCATTTTCCTGTGCACCCTCTGCTGCTAATGACTCCATTTTCTGGGCATCCCCTTCAGCACATGGTGATATTAGTTCTTCTTCTGGAATAAATTGAACAGGCCAGCACCTTCTTGGTTGGCTTGCTGCATTATCCTCACCTACCTTTCCAATTTGATGAAGGTCCTTGACAATTATTTTCTCAGTATCTTCTAGAACTGTTGTCAATAAATTAAATAGGAGAGCAATCCAGGCAAGTCCAAAAAGAATCCAAATAGCCACAAGTGTTCGGTAGTAGGAAAAATAAATCCTGCCAGGTTGTTTACCTGCAGGTAGAGGGAGAGAAAGGAGGAGAAAATTAACAAATTAAACTGGCCTTGCCAGTCCAGGTAATGGACTCATTAACGTATTTTACACTGAATGCTTCAAGATGACTTTCATTGTGATGGAATACTACAATATGCAATATATAAAATACAGCAGCAGTACTCCAGGTCAGAGGAAAACATGTTCTAGGTTCAGGCTGAATCAGTCTCTTGTGGCTTCAATTTTATATGTGTTATATACACACTGTGATTGGTGTGGATTGGCCTCCAAGCAAGTTATTGTGATTTTGTAAAATGCAATTATGAACTGAAAGGTAATTGCTCTAAATTATAGATATGCTTAATTGGAATTGCAATTCCTACTTTACTTTTGAATGGATTCAGGAGCATTTTCCATTAAAAAAGTAGATGACTGATGAGAACTCACTACTTGTCAAGAACGCAAGTTTCTGTGTTGGAAACTAGTGGACTGGAGCTTATTTCATGCAGTCTGTACCACTTAGCATCACCTAGCCTTACACACCCACTTTTCTGCATGGGTCATTTCATTTGTTTGCTCAGATGTCAGCAATCCACAAGCAATGTTCAGAGAGCATTTGTTCCTACTGCATCTAGTTCCACACTATTGAAATGATACAGTCCTGGCATCAGCATGAAAACTTAGCAATACTGCTTGGTGAGTGTTGCAAGTCATTGTTAAGGGTGAATCCATATAGCAGAGATAACAGCAACATGCATGGATAGGGAGATCACCACAACCCTGGTGGAGCATTTCACATTCTGAAGCTGCCCAGAAGAAATCAGGATGCTGGCATCCCATTTCATGTCCTGCAGCACTTTGCATTAAATAAATCAACTAGTGGGATTTTTGTGCTTCATCATGCAAGGCTTTGGAAATGGGGCAGCAGTGAGCTGGTTTGTAATCGTGGATAGATAACCAACAGCTGGTTTTATTTCTTTTGCTGGGATTGAGTTGGTAGAGAAGCTGTCAAACTTCCTGTAAAGCATCTCTTTTTCTGCTCTATGTGAAGCTCATCATGTGGGCTTAGGACTTCAACACTGTTTGCAAAGCAGCTAGTAATATTTACATAATGTTAACTCAAAGCTGAACTTCACTAAGGCATAAAGCTGGTTCACAGACCAAGGGGAGTTTCACCCTAGAAATGTCACCCATGTGTACATGTACTGTGAACAGCTGAATCAGGACTGTCATCTTCCTAGGATTTCTCCCCATACAAAACAGGCTTTATCTCATCCTTCAAGTACAGCAGCTACAAAAATTAGAATTACTAAAATGCAAATAAACTCATGCCTATTCTCTTCCATTTGGCCAGCACAAAACTATTTGTCATTTGTAATCAATTCTAAACACCTAAGATGAAGAACATTCATTCTGATTGTTTTGTTCGGAAGCTGTGTGTGGCATTAAAACTTATCAGAGAATTGCTCAGGTGGGAAAAGACCTTCAAGATCATCAAGTCCAACCACAACCTAACCATACTGCCCTAACTCTAACCACCCTCTGCTAAATCGTGTCCCTGAGCACCACATCCAAACAGTTTTTAAACACATTCAGGGCTGGTGACTCAACCACCTCCCTGGGGAGCTATTGCAGTGCTTAACAACCCTTTTTGTAAAGAAGTTTTTCCTGGTATCCAACCTAAACTTACCCTGGCACAACTTGAGGCATTTTATTGCCATTGTTTGACACCAATTGAGATAACTACTGCAGGAAAAAAATATTGCAGCTCCTGTTAACTCATCTTAAAGAAGAAATCAGAGCCAGAGGCTCGTCTAATTCTTTTAACTGTGTTTGTAAAATAACATGTTTACAGACAAGGAAAGTGCTGTTGAAGTAATTATTCTGGGGCTATGACTTGCTCTTGTAATTGCAAAACAAAGTATTAGCTCCAAAGCTTTCTTCTTGTACCAGTGCAGAGGAAAAGCTTGTATTGGGAGATGCTGGCAGAACAGGTTGTTGTAGAGAAATCCTTGATTCTTCAAGGAATCCAGGTGTTCAGTTGCTTCTCCTATGGACATGCACTTGATTCCTGATTTTCACTGTGGATTTTCTTTAGAAGCTGATTCTGTTCAGAGTGTATTTTGATCAGCAGTCAAAGAAATGTTTTGAGAAACACACCAACAAGCTGGAGTATGGCTTAAACAGTGTGACATCAGAGGAACCTCCTAAGCTCTAACTTGGGAAGACACAACACATGCAGTAGTGCATGAGAATACTAAGAGGGCTGCTCTTAAAGTGATATATCTACTTAAGATCCACTTCTCATAGATTTTCATGAGTAGATTTTCCCACTGCCCTGTGACTACAGTTTCTACTTCTTGGACTCGTGTAAAATCATGTCTTCTGAAACATGACCACTTATTTTTTTTTACTGTATACTCTGAAATGTAAGTCTGAGGTGGCTAAAGCAGGGATATGTATCTTACATGGCAGTCACAACTATTTCCTTTTTGTATATGCAAATTCCCAGGCTTGTTGAATTCTCCCCTCCCCAAAATATTTGGCTTCTTTGCACCACAAAGCACCCCATTTCATTACATTTATACAACTCTGTGCTTTCATCAGCTCATGGAAACCTAGAAAGACAAGTATTTCCCCCAAAATCTTCCAAAGCAAAGACTGGTCAAAGATTAGACAGAAGGTTTGTCTCTACAGTACATTGGTGACCTGTGCAATCAACCCACAGTAATTGAAGTTGCAACCCTGGTGCTTTGCTGCACCTCCTCTCTGAAATCAATCTTACCTACTACGTAATCTCCAAAGCCAATGGTGCTGAGGGTGATAAATGCAAAGTAAATTCCTTCACTGTAGGACCAACCCTCTGTTATCTGGAAGAATAGTGACGGCAAGCACAGGAACACGAGGATCCCAGTCACAAGGAAGAACAGAAGGGTCAGAAATTTGATCTTCTTCTGAAAAACAAACAACTAAATTACAATCATGATTTGACGCACTAGCAGGCCATATATAATGTTTGGTATTCAAAATGGGTGTCTACCTAGGAATGCCTTCTATAATCACCGTGCCTTGCCCTGAAGCAGGGGGAATCTATGCATTAAAGGTGTTCCATATCCATACTAAACCTGAGAGATATGGTTGGTTTTTTTTTTTTAAATTTATTTATTCTGTTAGCTTTTAATGACCACGCATATGGAAGGAATTCCCAATGACTTTTACCAGAATTAGACCATTTCCAGTTTTCACCAAACAACATCACTTTTAGTTAGTTTTCAGATATTCAGGTATTCCCAAGAACACTCAAATTTGCCTTGGAAAATAGATATTTAAAGAAATAATTTACATTGTTTCCAATACTACTTGCAGTATCTTATAGAGTCTTGATTGTTAACTTTATTTATCATTGCATCAGTACCACAACTTAAATCCTACCCAGTGGATAAGTGACTACAAGGAGACCTTTAACAAACAAACTCCTGATGAAGAAGTGTCTAGCCAGTGACTTTTGAACCATCCTACCACCAAGCAGCTATGAAGCAACCATGGTTGGATAAAAAGACTTGCCAGACATTAAGATTTTTCAACCAGATACATCTATCTTATATGCAGATTTTTTTAAGTTCAAATTGTCTGAAAATGAATGGCAACTGCTGGGTATTTTCTCATGCCTTCATGTGTTGTGCTTGTGCTGGATTCTACATCTAATCTAGCCTTATGTGTTACTTAAGTTTGCCAGGCACAGGAGGATACTGAACAGTTTGATCAGAGTTGTCTGAGCATTCATACCTAACCCTAATGAAGAGAATTACAGCAGGAGACACAGAAAAGATATTCTCACTCCATCAGAAGCATTAAGAGAATGTGAGAACCTCCAAATAACCTGGGGCATAACCAGACAAGAGATACCGTGCCTCCAGCCCCCTACAAGTGCCTCCTCACCTTTCAGCAACTGGGCTCAAATGGGCAACTGGAGCCTGAATTTTCCTTGCTGTAGAAGTCAAAGGTGGAAAGGGATTAAAGGACTGCATAATGAATAAGGAGGGGTGACATGTTAAGCACTGAGCCAGCATCTACTGAAACTCCTACAGCTCAGCTACTTCACAACTCTCTTCTCTCAAGGTGAGATGCTTCATCATCTATCTCTGAGCTGCCAATAAAGAAGGGCAGGTACTTCCCTAGAGTGTTAGCTCCTGAGATAGGTATCTAGAGAACTGGAAGGAAGCACACACACTCTCTCTCTCTCTCCATTGATTGCTGAAGTGGCCTTAGACATGCTATTTAGATGAACAGGCAAAATGTATTCCCCTCTCTGAAAACCTCCTCTAGTTGCCTCCTCTGCATAGCTCTGCAGGGGAAGACTATTTCTTTCCCTCTCCTAGCACAATGCCCAACACAGCAAGAGAACAAACGTAATAGAGGATAATGCCAGGATGTATCTTGAAAAAAAGCCTAGAGACTAGCATGTCACTGTGCCTAAGTAAAACCAATTACCTTTCTCATTCCTTTTGCGTACAGGAATTTCCCCAGCTTTTTACACAGCAGTGAGAGGATCTTACCAACACGGTGCAGAAAAACAATATTCAGAGGGATTCCAAAGAGAGCAAAAAAAACACAGAAGATCTGGCCCCCAACAGTTTTAGGACGTAGTGTGCCATAACCTATGAAAGAAAAGATATGTCAGAGGGGATATTCCAGAGAGCTGGAGCAATCCATGGTCACATTCACACATAAGCAAGCCTGGCCTGCCTTTGTTTCCAGAAAATGTGGCACTTCCTAGCCCACTTTTCTCTGACAAAACTAGTAAGCAGAAGTGATTCATCCTGGATGTTCTGTAGGATGCAGAGTGCTGGTATCACAACCAAGCCTTAATGGGAATGAAAGCATCATCTAAAAGCAGTTATGGAAAATACGCATTTCCTGTGAGAAAAACACGGGAAGACAAAAACCAGAAGGCTGGGGACCTGGAAGATGTCAAGTCTAGAGTCTCAGGCTGTTTCTCATGCCAGAATCAAACAATCTGCCTTCTTGTAGATATGCCTGTGTGTTAGTGACCTCCGTGGCTGAATGCCAGTAGGTTGGTATGTCCAGATACTGGCTGGAGACAGTGTAGGGTGCATTATAATACCTTGCACTAATTAAGCCAGATCTTACTGGTAGTCACTTCATTCATGCCAGAGAGATAATTTTCTTAAAATTCTATTAAAAGAGGATTTAGATAAGTAATGGAACAACAGCTGCAGAACTCCAAACATGTCCTTTAATGGACTATAGACTTTGCTGCTCTTAGACCCCATGAGGTACATCTTTAAGTGCAAGAGTTCTGTACTTTGTGTATGTCCTTATTTTATCCTTACCATGAGAAAAAGCACTTTCCAGAGCACAGTTCAACTCAAGACATCCATTACTTGGAAAACTGCATGTTTTCCTTTGGGGAGAAGACAAATAAAACAACTGAGTGATTAATTGGCTGCTAAGACTCAGATGTTTGAGCTGTTTTGTGCTTCCTGTTGCACAAATATTGCATTTTCATGGCAGCAAAGCCAGGATGGGTGAAGATGGGTAAAAGTACCTCACTAACAGACCTCTGCAGTAAGGGGACAGAGAAACAAGCAAATGGTTTTCCTGGGACAGCCTTTCTTGCTCAGTGGGGAAACAAATTTGATGGGAAGAAATGCTTTTCCTTGGGAGAGAAATGCCACAATGAAAAAACTACAATAATACAGGTAATGGCAAGGAGTGAATTGGCTATTAATATGTAAATATTGCTCTTCCCATGAAATGTTTGTCTTTCATGTGATGGGTCAGGAAACTTTCAGAATACTCAGCACTTTTCTATAATAAAATGACCTCTTCAACACTGATGGAGTCTGACTTATAACTGCAGTGCTGAGAAGCAAAAAAAATATAAAAAAAAACCCGTAAGATTTGATTTTCAGTTCAAGTTCTTTGGTGTTCTTTGAACAATGTTATCAACAAGGGAAAGCAATTCTTTCTCCTCTCCAGATCCTCCTAAAGAATTTTTCTGTGTTATACTAAAAGGGTTCCAGCAGATGAGTGCAGACTGCTGGAAAACACTTTGCTCAAGTCTCTACATCCTCTTTCTTCTAAGGCAAGAAGTCTCCATATGGGTTCATGCAACACCAACACATCTGCCATGATGCTGGGGCACCACAGGGACCCAAGACATGTCACACTTACAGGTCACAGGCACGGCTGTGCCCAGGGTGCAGTGGGAGAGGCCTCAGCTTGTGAAAACATACATTTAACCCTCACTGCATGACAGTGTGAAGCAGCAGCCATAAGCATGCTCAAATTTTGCAGGCCTTTGCTTTTTGGGATGCATATTTGAGGGAAAGGGAGAGACAGATAGGGGCAAGAAGGTTCTGACCTGGATGGTCAGAACAGCTTAAAGGAGCAGTGTAAAAGTCTTAGAAATTGCCTTGTCCTCTTCTCATTTCTTCCTTCCCAGCAAAGTTCACTTATTTCATACCATTCTTTTATGCTTTACTCCACTCCCAGATTTAAAGCCTATTTGACCATAGAATAAAAGTCAGATGTTGGAAAGTCAAATCTTCTACCCACAACTGGCAGCAGAACAAGATTTTAATAGATGGCTTGAAAAGGAGAAACAAGTGAGGAAAAAAAAAAAAAGAAAAAGAAAAAGAAAAAAGATCAAAATGAAAGACCATTGGTATTTTAAAATTCAAAGTAATACACAAAGATTTGGGCATCAGTGAAGTCTCAGGACCATGTCAGTAGCTGCTTCCCATCCAAGCCAATAAAGGACTGGACTTTCTATCCTTGAAAGTTTAGGTCCCAGTAAGCAGACATAAGCATCACACACACACACAAATATGGAAATCACAGAACAGACCTATTGTGGAGACGACTGTGCCTGCAAAGAAGAAGGAGTTACTGAAATCCCAGTTGCTGTTTTCAGTCTGCGATTCATTTCCAATAGGGTACACTCCATTCTGAATTGCTTCAGTCAGGTTCTAGAAGGGAAGGCATTATTATTTTTTTTTTTTAAATCAACGCAACTGCTTTTCTCGAGTCTTTGCTGAATGAGTTCTACAGATTAAGACAACTGCTGCTCCTTTCTTGTGAACACCACTCACTTTGTTTTCATTAGTGCTCTAACACCATTCACACCTTTGCTGCCAACGTTAGCCGGCAGTCAGCCAGTGGTTTTGAAAGTTTGCCTTCTGCCCTGCGGTTATGTTGAGTGCTCTCATGGCTTCTAAGAGAACTTGTTTGTTTCCATGCGAAGTTTGCCCCTGAAGTCCTTGATTCTTGCAGGCTAAGTTCTTGAAGGGAAAAAAAATATATATATCTACAGAAGACATAGTAGAAGAAAGCAGCCCAGCAGCTGAACTGATGGGGTGCCTGGTTTTGAGCTTGCCCTTGAGATTTTAGCGGGATCTTATTGCTCATGCAGGCTTTAGTGAGTTACAGCTGGGTACATGTGACACACACAAAATGTAATTTTAACACTGCAGTCTCATTGGAGCTACATATTTATCAAGCCACTGGTTTGCAAAGCATTAATACTGATGCAACTACAATTAGAATCCAGCCTGACGTGTACACCGTTCTGCAGGGGGCATGCATGAACCACATGGACAATATTGGCAATGCAGCCTTTGAGATGAGGTTCAATGAACATCTGTTAGAGAAGGCTTGGGTTGAATTGAGACTGTTCTGTGGCAGGGTGTTATCTCCCAAGCCCTTCCAGCCCTATCATCTGTAACTCCATGCATTTTCAGTCCCCTTTCTTCTGTGAATTTCATTCTAAATGATGCTGTTTTTTCTGAGGCTTAAAAAACAAAAATAACAACAAGAAAAAACCCCAGTATCCAGCTGGTCCTGCCTCAGCAAGCAGAGGACATTCATTTAGACATCTGGGATGCAGACTGGTTTCTACAGAAGCAGCAAAAACAAAATCCAAGGCTGAGCCCAAGCAAAGACAAGGCATTAGATGGAATAAACTGCCCCAGGAAGGCTTTAACTCCTCTTCCCTCACCATTTTACTACAGTCCCAGAAAGTCAAGGCTAACATAAATCCTGGCAGCCCTTGCACAAGGATTTCACTGTCTTGAAGAAGTTCTTTAATTTTTTTTCTTCTCTCCCACCCATTCCCCCCCCTCCAAAAGAAAAAAAAAAATAATCCACGATGAAGGGGATGCATGCACATGTGAACTCTGGGCTGAGCCACTGTTTGCATTTTTAGAAATAGTGGTTCCCTCCCTTCTCTCCTTATCCTCAAAATATGCTCATTAAGAGCTCCGTTACTTTCCCATGCAGACATGCTTCCTGGCAAGGCTATTTGCAATCCCTGTCTTCTTTGCACTGTAGCAAATGCAGCTAGGAAATACCTATGATGGAGTGAGAAATGTAGTCAATCTCAGTTTCCCATGCTGTGACCAGAAGCTCCTTTCTCTTGACTGTGCTGCCTATTTAACTTCTGCAGCATAGAATCATAGAATGGCTTGAGTTGGAAGGATCACCAAGTTCCAACCCCCAGCCTTTTCCAGAAATAAATCCTGACTATATTATGCTTCCTGTAGTAATTTAAGCACCTTTATTTTCCTCCAACAGATTATTTCAGAGTTTGCTATATTGTTCTCTTGTGCTGTCTGTGGCACCACTGTGTGTGGCAACCATTTCCATTATTTTCAGACAGCCTCATTTTTCCTGCTGTGCCACCCGCTGGAGATGAGCATAGCCCCACTGAAAGATGTTCCAGCAGGAGGCACAAACCCAAAGAACTGGGCCATCTTAGAGCAGGGGGTGTTAACAGCTGATACACAACATTTTATCAGACCACATAAACTTGTATTTGTGTACAGATCAGTATGATCTGCCTCCTTAAACCAGGAAATGGGTTTGGGGCTTGCAAAAATAATCCAAATGAAACACACCAGCAAGAACACAGAGAGAGAGTTATCTCTGCAGCAAGGATGAGCAAGAAATAACATCTGAGAGGGAAATGGGCAGGAGAAAGGGCTTGCACGGGGCTGGCACCCACCTTCATAAACTGCTCCATCTCTGCCACTGTGAGATGAGTGAAATTCTGCAGAAAAGCCTCCTTCATCTGGGCAGCTGCCATTTTCTGCTGCTTTTCGGCAGTCCTCTCCAGCGCCTGGAACACGGCTGCGCCCACCAGCAAGTAGACAAAGTAGCTGCCCACCAGCAAACCTGTCTGCAGCTTGCCGCTGCACATGGCCCTCGGTAAGGGACAGGGAGAGAGAGGGGGAGATTGGTAAATCCCACTAATTCCTGAGGAGCCTCCCCTAGGCAGGAAGAGCCCTCCCAGCTGCTATTTCCACTGGGATCTTGCGCTGACAGGGAGAGCGAGCTGTCAAATACACTCAAGGGGATACTGGGAATTTAAAAAAAAGAAAAAAGAAAAGAAAAACAAACGAACAAAATAAAACAAAGACAACAACAGCAAAAACAAACAAACAAACAGAAAACCCAAAACTTTCCACTCTCCGGGCTGCATGCTGTTTAGGGATTTCCTCTTGTCTGTGAAACACTGACTTGCTGAGTTCTCAGGAAAAATGAGTCAGGATGTCAGGAGCTGGCAGGTGGCCATCTCCTCCTGCTCAAGGAACGCTCACCAGAGGCTCGAGGAACAGGTGAAGACAGTCCTCAAAGGGCCCATAGTGGAGCTTCCTTGAAAAAAAAACAGTTTTCCCTTCTCTGTCTCCAACTACCTCTTAGAACTGTATCCCAGGGAAAGCCCCAATGCCCACAAATCCCTTCTTGCTCTGTGTTCAGGGGCAGTATCGGGCAAATGCAGCTGGACTGCTCTTCTGCGGTTCACTAATCTGCTTGTAGGACGGAGAAAGATCATGAAGACCTGCAAAGAGCAAACTAGGAGAACCAGGCAATGTGCTTAAGGTCAGGACAGTCACTGGGAGCATAGAATCGTAGAAACATTTGAGTTGGAAGGGGCCCAAAAGGCCATGAGGTACCACTCTGCAAGCAGGGACACCTACAGCTCCATCAGGTGCTCAGAGCCCCATCCAGTTTGATCTTGAGTGTCTCCATGGATGAGGCATCCCCAGCCTCCCTGGGCAACCTGTGCCAGTGCCTCATCACACTTTTTGAAAAATATTCCTTATATCCAATCTAAATCTCCTCTCTTTTAGCTTGAAACCATTTCCCTTTGTCCTGTCATAACAGACCCTGCTGAAGAGTCTGATCCCTTCTTTCTTATACCCCCTTTCATGAAATTCAGCAAAGATCAGTGCAAAGTCATGCCCCAAGGAAAGTAGAACCCCTTGCAAGGACTGACTGTGGAACAACTCTGAGGAAAAGGACGTGAGGATCCAGAGAGGCTGTGCAATCTCCATTTCTGTGTTTTCTATGACCCAGTTGGACAAAGTCCTGAACAACCTGGTCTGACCGCAGAGATGCTATAGTTTTGAGCAAAAGGTTGGACCTGTTGAGGTCACTTCTCACCTGAATTATCCTGTGATCCTGCAATGTCCGGAAAGAATTAATTATAGAAAAGTCACACTGGAATCAGCACATAGAAGAAAATGCAGAGGCTTGGAGGCTGGTTTCTTGGAGCTGATGTAAACAAGAAATGGCAGATGGCTCCACTCTCAAGTGCAGGTTGTCCTTTCACACATAAATCTGTTTTACCTCAGAGGAAAACAGGAAAACTATGAATGAAAGTAAGTAGCTCAGCAACACCTTTAAAATGAAAAGATTTTCATTAAAGTTACTGGAAAAGGGCTTGTAGAAACCGGACACATTCCACTTCCTTTCACTTCTTTTGAAGCTACGGCGTGCGGAACGTATGTGAGATCCTCAGATCTCCTCTGCTTCTGTACAAATAAGAGCACCTGCAGCTTTACCTTTTCGTGTCCCTCAGACTCCCAGCTCTGTGAGATGAGAGAAACACCATTACATAAACAAATACAATATTTCCTCATCTACAGACTACAGGCATGCAGATAACAGAGAAGGATTCTTTCCTCAATATGATAGAAAGAAAAAAAGTGAATCTCATAGAAGATGCTGAGAGTTTTGAATTCACTTGCAGTTGTTTAACCAGGGTGGGTAAGGGAGCCATGTTCTCATGCTCTCTCCCCTTTGGAGAGAGCCCCATGGTTTGGTAGTTCCTCATTTTTATTTTGGACTGTTAGTATGATCATGGCTGTTTTTTAGAGACAGCTCTTCACAATCTATTCATCTCCTCTGCCTCTCTGCTCTGCCTATCTCATCTAAAAGGCTTTTAACCCTCAATTTTGGTGTCCCAGTTGTGTAATTTGTCCCACTATGTTTTCATGATACCAATTAGGTCACAGTTTTCTAATTGCATGGTGACTTCCAGCTCCTCTTGCTTATTTCCAAGTCATCTTGCATTAATGTAAAGGCATTTCAGCCGGGCTATTAGCCATGTTATGTTCTTGGAGGAGCCCTCCCAAATTCCTTAGAGAAAAATCTAAGGTTTTCCCCTTCTGCTTTCTAAAGTGACAGTGTTCCCTGGCTCTTCCCTGTCACTCAGAAGTACATCCCCTTCCCTCACTCAATCTACATTAAAGATCTGCTGATTGGTCCAACCAGCTTTCAGCCCAGGATGTTTTTGCTCCACTGGTCAGTTGCATCCCATCCAATGTCAACGTGCCTGGTCTCTCAAAGGTGCATCCTCAATCATGGAACCCAGAACTTTGAGTGTGACACCACCCACACACCAGTCATTCAACTGATTTGTTCTCCTCCTTCTACCCAGGTCCCAGGCTCCGGGGAGGACAGGGAACGATCTCCATACTCCAATCCCTTCAACATCCTTCCAAGGAACATAAAGTCTCAATTAATATTTGAAATTTCCTTGTTGCAGCCTCAGCTGATCCAACTTGAAAAAGCAGGAGTGGATAGTATTCGTCTGGCTTTATAAGACTCATTAGCCTCTTCTTAGTGTCTGGGCAACTGACAAATGGGCACTTCTCAGTGAGGAGTCCTCAGTTACTAACATCCTGTGCCTGTTTTTGGTGGCATTGATTCTAAATTGGGTCGTTGGTTGGAGCAACTTAATGCAGTTGTCTCTTCTTGAGTCTGAACCCGTGCCTTCACCTCTTTCCAACCCCAGGCCCTCGTATCTGTTGTGTAGGGGCATTACAGGAGGAGACAAATCGTGCTCTGAGCAGAGACAAAGGTCCAGTTTCCCTCGTCTTGTGTGTTTCTGTGGTCTGTCTTCAAGTTGGAATCTAGTTTAGTTTCCTCCTCTTGCAGGGATTTAAGACAGGCTGGCAGTCTGCCCATGTCACTGCTCAATACTGTGCATCAATCTCTACCTATCTGATTTCTGAATACTATGCATCCAGGTGATTTCCACATGCAATTCAGCCATTTGCTCAAAAAGTTCATCAAGCAAAGCAGACTGCACCGATGATACCCCTCTCTGCCTTCAGACCTTTAGCCCTTCCTGCACAAGCTACCACACCAAGGCCAAGCTGATATGCCACGTTCTGACTGCCACGTTCGTGGTCACTCTCCATCCCTGAGGCTGCCCTTGTACACATGAGGGTGTTATGCTTCTCCATTTCAGAATGTTCCTGCACTGGAGCTGATTGCCTTGGAGAATACAGCATGTTTACTATTTATGCAGGCTGACTGACAGCCCTGGACTAAGCTTAAGTACAGGTAGGCTGAAATGGGTTCTTGGGTTATTGGCAGGGTGAGCGGAAGCCTTGGAAGGGCCAGCCAGGGCCCTGGTAATTATGAAGGTTGCATGTCTGGTAAGATAGTTAATATCTTTTGTTCCAATACCAGGACACAACCAGTGACGCAGTTATGGGACCAGGGAAAGAGAAGTGATGCAGACTTCTCACAACTGCATTATTTACCCAGTCTATTGCAGGGAAATCCATGCAGTGAGATCCGGTAATGGAGGGCAGGGAGCGTTTCCTGTCTGGGACACAACGTGCTGGGACAACCCAGCTGCAGCCCCGCTCTTGCTCCCTTCTGATCCCATCATACCCACGGTACAACCATATTCTTTTTCTACACATGGCATTCGTTCTCTTGCTGCAGCCTCGTGTATGCAGTGTCCTCAGGATGATTGTAGCCTGAAATGAACTCCAGATTAATGGAAAACGCTATCAGTTGCCATGGAAATACATGGTCATGTGGTAGCAGTTGTACTTCCTATTGTGCTTAGAACTAAAACTCTTAGATGAGCCTAATTTTTACACTTTCTCACAGTTCTCCTATAAATACCTTTTACTCATATCTGTGGTCAGTACATTCAGTCTCCTGGCATGACTCACTATGTTTTCCATTCTGTGATCTTATGCCAGGTTATTACACGCTTACGCTAAAGCTTTCTTCTGCACAGCTCTTCAGATTTCCTAGTTTGCTGTTTAGGACTGCAAAGCCAAATTCCTGTGGATAGCTATCAGTGTCAAGGATTTCCATGAATGAAGAAAACATCATGGGTGGAGACAACTCTACTACACATTTCACACATAAGAGAATCATGAATGTTTTTATTGATTTAATAAAGACGTAATGTAGTGATTTAACAGCAACTTCACAAGATTTGAGATGACTGGGTACACGTGGTTATTTACTGTGTAGAGGGTAAGGTAAGGCTGTTCTTCCATTGACTCCCAAGGTTCAGAGTGGACACCCTTGCTGTCTAAACTCCTTGAGCCCTGAATGGAGGTAAGGAGCCCAGGTGGGGCTGAATCCATTCCTAGCCCCAGACGTGGTCAACAGTTTATGTGTAAGGGATCACATGTGCATAATCATCTAAGATTATGCATCCAGTTACCAAAACTAACAAAGCCTAAAATTCACTTCCCAAAGATCCGGATTGGCAAAGCATCTTGCTGTCAGGATGTAAGGGATCCCAGCACAGGCATAACACTGAGAGGCAACTCTGCCTTAAGGGGAGATGCTGTCATGCAGCTTGCTGCTGTGCAGTCTTGAGGAGCTCTTGGGCTGTTCACTGTTTTTAGGCACATGTTCAACTGGCCCTCAGCAGTTGAACCAGGTGTCTGCTATCAGTTCTTTCAGCCCCCCAGTTTGAGACAGATTTTTCATTGTTAATCTCTCTTACCAAGAATGTTATCAGTATCGTGGAATCATAAAAGTTGGAAAAGATCATTAAGGTTGCCTAGTTCAACCATCAGACCCATCACCATGGCATTCAACAAAGGTGGGAGATTCTCCTTGGCCCTCCTCTTGTCAATATAAAAACATTTGTTATTAACAATGGTGGCCAGATTAAGTTCTTGCTGGAATTTCACCATTTTCATTTTCCCTCTACGTACCCTAACAACTTCCTTCCCAAGTTGCCTGATCCACCTTCCAGAAATGGTAAACTGTCTTTTTTTCTCAGTCTTAGGAAATGCTCCTTATTCAGCTATTATTCCCACTGGCTTATCTTGTGGCACAGGATGACAGTCTGTTCCTATGTCTTAAAGATTTCCTTCTAGAGGAATGCCTACTATTCCTGGACCCCTTTGCACTCACACTTCAGGATGGATTCTCCCAACCAATGTCCCGATCAGCTCAGAGTTCTGTTTCTCACTGTCTTCCCGTGCAAGGCCTTGTTTGCAAAGCCAGGCTGAGTGAGGAGGTGGAGAAAGAAGTGGTGGGCAGTCACACTGTCACAATACTGCAACTGGTCTCTTGCCTTTGCTGGCTGTCACTGAGCTCTAGTGTGCAGGAGGTAATGAATGCTGTGCCAGGCATGTCAGCATGGAAAACTACCACAGAGGGTGGTAGGGTTGGGCAACTGTAAACAGGACCTCTACTTTACTAGGTAAAACATCTGCCATCACTAACCAAATCACTTGTGGGCTGATATGAAGACAATTTAATGGGACAGAAAAGGAAGAGAAAACAATGATAAAAGAATATACAGAATGAGTGGTACACAACACAACTGCTCATCATCAGTGGGTTGATGGCCAGCCAACTCCCCTAGTTTTATTGTTTAGCACATTGCCACGGTACGGGATGTCCCTTTGGCAACTTTGGGTCAGTTGACCTAGTTCTGACCCCTGCAGCGTCTGATGCACGGACTCAGATGCGAATGATCCAAATCGTCTCTTACAAGTTCTCACATCGCTTATACACCTTCACAAGTTTTCTTTTCCTGGTTTTCCCATCCATTCCTACAACTCTCCCGTCCGCCTTTACACGTCAACAGCAGCTGCAACGCAGGCGGGGCGGAGGAAGGCGGCGGCGCGGCGAGCGTCGTGGGCGGAGCTGAAGGCAGCAGCGAGGGGGGGTGGGCGGCGATTCCTCTTGTCCGCGGTCAGGGCTGGGGTCGGAGCCTCGGGTGGAATCCGGACCGGGGCTGCTTTCTGCACCGAGGGGCAGCGGCGAGGCTGGCAGGGAGGGCGATGGGCAACAGTCGGGAGAGATTCTCCCTTGTCGAATTTGTTTAAGCCCTTCCCTGATTCGGTGCCAAACGGGTAAAAGTTTAGCGGCCGTTCTGTCTTTAGTAATAGAAGCTTCCCGGAGTTTTGCACCGATTTTGCCCCAAAGCTCTCCATCGGAAGAGAATCCAGTTTTCGGCAGTTCGGGACATTTTTGCTTATCCATGTGAGAAAAGTAACTAGTGCCGAGGTCGATACAGGCTGCTGCTGAAACGTTGAAACTAACCGTAACGCTGCAAGATTTACTTGCTGCTCCTTCGTTAGCGAGCTCCCCGTAGTGCCCGGCTGCTCCCCGCGTGTCCTGCAGGCGGTGCGGGCGCCAAGCGATCCCTGCGCAGTTCAGTCGGGCGGCGCTGCCGGGCTCGTTCAGCCTCGGCTTCATTTGCGCCACGCGGTGGGCGCCATTTTTGCAGCGTCTGCTGCACGGCCTCAGACGTGAACGGTCCAAATCGTTTCTTACACGTTCTCACATCGCTTGTACACCTTCACACGTTTTCTTTTCCTGGCTTTCCTATCCATCCTTACAGCTCTCCCGTCCACCTTTACACATCAACAGAGCATTGTACAAAGCACTCTTCAACTGTTCACACATCCCCTGGATGCCACGCAGGTGCTGCGTAACATCACAGTGCATCACAGTACGGGGCTGGTATTGAGGCTGTCAGCAGGCAGTGCTGCTCCGCTTTGGCCTGGGCCAGCGGTGAGTGCAGCAGCAGGGGGGGGCTGTGCTGGGCCGGGTGCAAACACCGCCTGCGAGGGGTTTGGGAGCCTGCAGTGACAGCAGCCTGTGAGCGGCTTTCTGGGCAGTCACCACCAGCGCTGGGCTCGGCCCCTGCTGCCTCCCAGCTCCCACCAGCCCCACTGACATCCCCTCTCTCACCTCTTCGACATCATGGCTTTGGCGTTTCTCTTCGCCTTGTTGCTGCAGAGAATACCATTTGTTGCTCATAATTTTGATATGGACGTGCTCGACCGCATGCAGCAGCGTGAGGTGTATCTGCAAGAGCAGATGACAAAGATGCTGCTGGAAATAGAGGAGGAGGACATGGCGCAGAGCAGGATGGACATTCAAGCCCTGCTCTTCACTGCGTTGCCTTACTGGTTTGTTCTTTGTGTTTTCGTCCCTCTATTTTGGCTCACGTGGAAGATCTATAAAAAGATACAGGGAGTTGAAGACGGCAGTGATGAGGAGAGTTCCAGGAGTGAGGAGGAGGAGGAGGAAGAGGAGGATGATGGTATTTTTTTTTCTGATATGTTCTGGACAATCCAAAGCCATCAAAGCGATTGTGAACAGATGTACTCGCTGATGCGTTGCGTCATGGATGTATGCCAAGATATGATGTCAGACACTTTCTATCCAGTGCCAGAGTGTCTCATCGGGGTGGGCAGTACCTTTGAAGGCTGGTGTCCCGTTAGAAACGTACCTGTCTTTAGCCTGCTTGTGCCCCTGTTGGCCCCCCGTGGGCACACTTTCCACCTGGATCTGGGCACCACAGGGGAGGTACCAGCAACAGACTCCTGCATCCGTGTCGAGCTGGAATGCACGTGTGGGAGGGAGCAGGAGATGCGCATGCTGTGCTTCCTCCACTCCTCCACAAAACAGCTGGACAGTCAGGAACCCAGCCTCCTAGGCAGCCTCTGCACTGACTCCTACCTAGACGCGGAGAAGACTGCCTGCTGGTTCCAGGAGCTGATCTGTGATGCCTGGAATCGCATGCCCGTGTCAGAGTTTACCATGGAGATAGACACGGTGAAGTCCAGGCGCTCCTGCAGGATTCACGTGAGAGATCTCGACCAAAGAATCTTCTACATTGAGTTCGTGTTTGGCGTACAGCAAGATGATACAGACATCTTTCTGAGCAGCCATGAGATAGTGGCTCGTCATACCCCCAGCACGGTCTGGCCACAGAGCTGTGTTGTGGCAGAGAGAAAGTTCCTCCAGTATATAGCCAACCATGCCCAGGGGGGCAGTTTCTACATCAGATATCTCCAACTGTGTGCCTATCTCATGGCGGGCCTCAAGTTTTCTATCTATGACCTGAAGACAGTGGTCATGCACCTCCTGACTACCATCCCTTTGGAAGGGTGGCACAGGAGGGATTTCCTGCAGCGGATGGATGACATCGTGAACTACCTGTCCTGCTGTGTAGAGGAGAAACGTCTGAACCACTTCATGGTAGGAAATGACTTGGTGCCAGAGGAGATTATCTTGCCGCAAGAGTTCCGAGAGTCCGCACCGCTCAACGTGTTCCAGCACCTGGAGGAGGAACCGGACAAATATGAGCAGGCGCAGCTGGATGTGGAGGAGCTGCAAGACCGGTTCACAAGCATGGTGATCTATGGGAGATGAGAGGCGTGCACTTGTCCCACAGATGAGCTCTGGGAATTGCTCCGAGATGTTTTCTCCACACTGGGGCAGCCATATCCTGTGGGATAATGTCACGGAGTTAACTAGATCAATCTGTGCCCGTGACAGGGGGCAGTAGGCCCCTGCCCCCCCTCTCTCCTCCTGTCCAAGCTGAATTCTGGCAGCTCAGGCTACCTGAAGGTTATTTTGCTGTTCTTCAGTAGCCCTCTTGGGCACATGAGCATCTACACGGCGTACCTTCACAACCATTTTCTTTATTCGGGCAGCAATAGCTTTCCACAGTTCAGCAGCCCAAATAGGTTTACCCCTTCTTTGCCAGTTATTTTGCTCCCACTGCTGTAACCACCCCCATAGAGCATTTGCCACCATCCAGGAGTCAGTGTAAAGATAAAGCATTGGCCACCTCTCCCATTCAGCAACATCTAAGGCCAGTTGGACAGCCTTTACCTCTGCAAATTGGCTTGATTCTCCTTTCCCTTCAGTGGCCTCTGCAACTTGTCGTGTGGGGCTCCACACAGCAGCTTTCCATCTGTGATGCTTTCCCACAATACGACACAATCCATCAGTGAACAAGGCATATTTTTTTTCATTTCGTGGTAATTCATTGTATGGTGGGGCCTCTTTAGCTCGTGATACTTCTTCTGCTGGTGATGTTCCAAACTTTTTACCTTCAGCCCAGTCCATGATGACCTCTAGGGTTCCTGGACGGCTGAGGTTCCCCATCCGCGCTCGTTGCGTAATCAACGCAACCCACTTACTCCAAGTGGCATCAGTTGCATGACAGGTGGGGGGAACCTTTCCCTTGAACATCCAGTTCAGCACTGGCAGTTGAGGTGCCAGAAGGAGCTGTGTTTCAGTACCGACCACTTCAGAAGCAGCCCGAACCCCCTCATACGCGGCTAAGATCTCCTTTTCAGTGGATAGTAAGGTAAGGTGTCTTACCTGCACCTGCCTGGCTTTCATAATTCTGGTTCTGAATATGTAATTTCAGTGATTTAAATAACAATAACAATAATAATAATAAATTTCCCTATTAAAATTAAAAAACTAAAAAAAAAAGGGGGGGGGGGGAGTGCAGGTATGACCCCTCAGGAATGAATAGCTAAAGCATACTTTGTATTTAATTTTTAAAATTGTTGGATAATGATAATGTGGGTATGCTTGTGTCTTAGCAGGAACAGGTCCGAGATGGGTACCTGCACGGTGGGTGCG